ATCTGAAGTTCTTAAAATGTAAAAAGAGCAAAATATAATACAAGAGTATGCACGATCAAAATTCACATGACAACTTCAGGGACAATTAATAAGAGAAAATATTCATCAAAAAGATCAGGGTACTTATTCCAGTAAAACAAACCTTGAATCACAAACCACAAGCAAACAAATAACCAAGACATTGAATAAAAGAACCCATCTGGACGTGCAAAAACAAGATATCAGAAAAAAAGTATATATATATTCTGTGCAACAGACCGTGCCAAATGAGTGTCAATAGCAGTAAAACAAAGCCCCGCTGAAGATTACATGCAACATGTGATTGATCTTCAGCAGGAGGACATCCACTACATTTTTCTTCCTGGCTGGGGGGATAAGAGGAGACATAAATGATAGAGTGGGATGACAACAATGCACCTGACCTTGCCTCAAGCCCACGGAGGCAAGTGACAGACAGGGTATCATGCTTCGAAACCCTCCTTGTAAGGCTTCCGTGGCGGCTCGTCGTGGGGATTAAACCAGCCTTATAATGGCCTGTGGGATTTGTGCCTCCGCCGGGTGACAGCCCTCAAGTTGGGTGGCAGGCAGAGACGGACTACAGCTCCAACACGGCACTCGATCTACGCAGTCGCCAATCACAGTGCAGATCAATCGACCTCGATGGAGAGAAAAAGATGCATGAGGAATATATATAGAATTTTAATGGCGGGTAGTGTGTTGTTACGCGGAGGACTGTTTTCACTGGTTGGTTACTTGGACTCTTATGGATAATCCCATAAAGGCTAAATTCCACGTGCCTACCCACACCTCTTTCCCACAACTGCATTTGCCTTCCATTCCTGCCCTTGTTATGGGGATTTGCAAGATTATTTTTCTGCGGGAACTAATTTACATCATCAGCAGCCAGTCCATACAGGATCCACAGTTGCCATGGCAATATCTGTGGCAGAAAAGAGACGAGAGAGCGAAAGAGAGAAAGGAAAAGTAGTCAAAGCTGACAGGAAAATAACTGGTTTCATTAGATTTAGCCAGCTGATTGTTTCCAACACCAATGAAAGGCGACGGACAGAGCTTCTGTTTGCATTTGAGCGGTAATGAATGACTGCTGGGGTCGGGGCTGTGCAGGCCGCACTTCCCGATTAAATGAGACCGAGCGTATATCCCTAATATCTCCCGGCATCCTTCTCGGCAATCTGAAGGTCCAAAAACAAATTCCATAATCCTAATGAAGTTTTTCCTCCTATAGCTTTGCACAAAAGGCCCGGCTGTTTACGCAGGCGAAGCTCTCATCGGGTTCCCGGCTCAGTTCAAACACATAGTTTAGGGTAATCTCTGCAGAAGTGACATCACAGGAAGTGGTACAAAAAATAAATAAAAAGATAATTGGGAGAGCAAATAAAATCAATTTGGAGGAAGCTGTGAAAAGTTGAATCGCTAGTATTACATCAGAAGACCACAGACTGAGCTTTGGCGCCGTGGGGGAAAAAAACAAAATCTTGCCTGGTATTTGAGGATCCTCATTTCCCCCGATTCACAGCAGTCTCACGGTCAATTAAGCAGGACAGTGAGGGGGGGGAGGGGCAGCAGTGCAGCTGCTGCTTTCTGCGCGCTTCTTTCTTCCGAGCAGTTTAACATTTCAGAACAAGTAGCACACACGCACAGAGCACATCCAAATGCCATCAATACCTTGAGTCGGAACAAAAGGCTGTCTGGACGTATGCGGGGAAGTGTGTTGCAACAGAGTTCCTCTATTGCATTTAAAAAGCAAGGGCGGCATGGACATCTCATTGACTTCCATTCAATGTCCGCTGACATAAGTTACAAGGTCGTCAGGCCAGAAATGTTCTGTAATCCCGTCTTCAGCACTCGCAAAATAAACAATAGTTATAAGATGATCACACCATGAACAGCATTCTGTAATCTATCAATGAACGTCCAATATGCTGCATTCACATGGTGGTGGAACAAGACACACATACAATACAGAGCACATACACATGTATTAACTTTAAATGTTTTTTTTAACGCGTTGAGGGTTCAGGATCATTCATTTAATGATCCTGAGAAATTATGAGGCGGCTTCCAACTGCCCGTGTTGAAAAACACCAGTAAGTATTTTATATGTTGCGCTGGTGTTAACGGCACGAAAACGCCACTTGATTTAAACCTTACACCCCATCTTTCTGCTTCTCATTGGACTGTGATTTCCTGGTTTGACTCGTAAGTAATCCATCCTCCCTATCTGGGCTCAAACAACACAGTCAACAGTTAAATGTCACGATTTATTTAGTGCGAAGGACTGTGCACCTCCAGCCTGTCGCCCTTGAGCCCCGCTGGGACTGCGTGATTCAATCCGAGCCGCTTTCCACTCCAACCAGACGCTGTCACTTGAGATGCGAGCTGAACCGCCGTCACCGCGGCTGCACTCTGCGGTGACCGGCGGCTCCACACAGCGCTCGTGGATCCGTGGAGGGGGCGGGTTACAAATTCCTCGCACGGCCCCGGATCGGGGACACGGGAGGCCTCGGCCCCGGATCGGGGACACGGGAGGCCTCGGCCCCGGATCGGGGTCACCGGAGGCCTCGGCCCCGGATCGGGGACGCGGGAGGCCTCGGCCCCGGATCGGGGACACGGGAGGCCTCGGCCCGGATCGGGGACACGGGAGGCCTCGGCTCCGGTCGACCCTCAAGGGCAACGTCAGCGCGCGCCGCTTCAGCAGCAACAACACCGGTTCAGCCCAAAGCCGCTCCACCGGCGGAGAGCCAGCCGATAGCTGCCGGAGGGAGAAAAGCCCTGACGTCATCCAACGTGGTCAAATCACAAGCACAGGTGCACACCAGTGCTTGTGAAGAAACAGGTGGCGAATGCGAGGAGGCCTCTGTTGGGAGTGAAAGTGTCTCGTGGTTCCAGCCTGTCAGGGACACGTGTTTATGATTCGGAGAAGAAATCATTTCCGGCTCGAGTGTCACCGTTGCAATAAGCGTTCATCATGTTGGTCGACTTGTAATTATTGTTAATGACACGGTGGCGATGACAGGCGGGAGCAATGAGAGTTATTACTCGACGAGGCGATGCTGATGACAAGTTGAATAACATCAGCCCGCCGAACGAGATAATGATGTTTAAGCACAGGTCGAAGGAAGAACAACGCGGCGCACAACAAGATAGAGCCGCGGTGTCATTACTCTGCAGTGACGCGCGGGCCGGCGGCTGGAGGAGAGCCGTCGCTCAGCGTCCTCCCGTCGGGGGAAGTGGACACTGGTGACGAGCTCCGCAAAATGGGCTGATCATCACAAAATACGCTCTCAGATCCAGACGCAAACGTTTGTAATGGGATGAACGGCACAGAACTACCTGAATATCCTCCTTGGGTTAAATATGTTATTGTAGGATAACAAGTAGAAAGGTTATTTCTGTTGTAATTATACTTCAGCTGCGGCTGGTTGACCTTGCTGGTGAGATTTGACTCTTCATGGAAAGGTCAATATCTTATTGTAAGAATAAGCAGGACTAACCCTTTTTTTTTGTTAAGGGCAATTGTACTAAAGTTCGCCTCAGGTCAACTAACTTACAATTTTAAAAAAACAGCACACACATGTAGAAGAATCCGGCACTTATAAAAAGACATCCACCAAACATCCACAGCGAATAAGGTCATTGTGACTAGTATGATTATTCAGCATAAATGGGGGAAAACTCTTCCTCAAGCAGAGAAAAGCTATTAAATATGTAAAGTCGGTGCAATGCAAGGTCTGTGAGCTGAGTGGGTACTTGTGGGTGGGCCAAGTGGAGAATCATAGCACATAATCATTGGTGGAGCATATTCAGAGCAAAGCCCATATCTGGAGAACGGTTTTCATTCGATGGTGTGTCACTCTGATCACTCGAATAGACCCGTTTTGTACACTACAGGCAAGCGATTCCCATTGGGGCGTCACTTTCTTATTCTACATGTATTCCGATTGTCGATTGGGAGGCTGGTTGACAAAGTGCTGTAGGGAGAGCAGATACCAAGTGGATTATTGTGGTTGAAATAACCCCACTAAAGCAAACCAACGAAGCATAAAGGCTTGAGAAGTGAGGCAGCCGACGGGGTTAAGATTACATTAACAGGCAGGTAGAGAATAACATTCATGCTCATTGACGAATCCCTCAGTTTGACTTTCATCATTATTGAACAGATCATAACTGCTCAGGCCGTGCGCGGCCTTCTCTGGTAAGCTGGCGAATACACTAAAACCCGGACCCAGGAATGGATAAATGCAAAAGCAACAGATTGAAAAACAACGTTTTTGAAGTAGGTGCACTGATAACCCCCCCCCCACGAATAATGCTTTGTGTGATGTTCTTTAACCAAGGCTCACATTTCTCTCCGTGTGTTTAAACAATTTGTCTCCCATTATCCTCGTGTAAAACACTTCATCTCTAATTGGCATTGACGGAGAAAATATTTAAACAGAATAGATTTTCCACTAAGAGCAGATGACAAATTCAGTGTGTAATTCATTTGACCTCCATTTCATTCTTTAAATGTCGTCTTCACAGCAACAACAAAAATTGAGGTTTCAAGCCAAACTTTAGCAGTGGGAGTGCTAATTGCTGGCATCCTGATCAAACTTATTATTTCAAGAAATAAAAAATAAAAGTTGGTTGACTAGTTGGTGCAGTGAGACATTGTGAGCAGAGTCTCGTCACCATACTTCTCCTGCAGCTCCAATTACAAGTGTATCATTGTTCCCACCACGCAAAGCGACACTTCAGCAAATCCACGAGTAATTGGTTCCACTGGCTTGATGTTTGAACTGCGAGATGAAAAGCACGTAGCAATAAAATGATATGCAAGTAGTGTTGTGTAATTATTTAGTATTTGATGCAAACTGTTTTGTGCATATATGCATACCATTTTTTGTACAGCAAAACACGGTTTACAATCAAAACATGCTGCAATATCCATCAAGATCCAAATTCAGATCAACTGTGAAAACATAACGACACGGGCAGGAAGTGAAGATGTCAGACTTTTATTCAAATCAAATCATCTCCAAAGACAAAGATGGAGCTCGGCATAAAAACAATGAATAAATTCTAAAGAAAAAACAACATGTCTGTTTCCTTTCTCCATCGCCCCTATGGACACCGTTCCCCTCCTTCACCTCGGGTTGTCTCCTCTAGTTGTGGCCTTGGAGAGCCTCTGCCATGAACAGCTTCCCGAGGTTCTGCGAGGTGAATTCCTTCACATTCTGGCAGTAGTTGTTGACTTGCCCTGTTGGAGGGTAGCCGCATGCATCCGCGCGCCCACACAGAAATACACACACACACACACACACACACACACGCGAGAGGGGGGGGAGAGGGAGAGAAACGCAGCAAAACATCAAATTAGTGGGGAACAGAGTCAACGTTGGGATCAGAATGTTGTCAGACGGCGGGGGAGAGCTGAACAGCAGGCGAAGGGGCGGCGGAGCTGGAGATCAAGTCAATAAACTTTGAATTAATGTAATTTCAAGATAATGGCAAAGATAATTACAAAACACAACCTGAGCTCCTGTGAGGGAGCCGAGGCGGCTGATGGAGTTTGGGGAGGGGGGAGGGCGTCGTGTGTGTGTGTGTGTGTGTGTGTGTGTGTGTGTGTGTGTGTGTGTGTGTGTGTGTGTGTGTGTGAACGTGCGTGCGTACCTGCAATAAGCAGCGTGTCCATGCGCGGTGGAGGCTGAGGGGGCTTGAACATTTTGCTGATGTCCTCTTCGGGCAGCGGGGGCTCGCCCCGGCTCTGCCGCTGGGTGTTCTCCTGCGTGCGCCTCTGCACATACTGGAGGGGGGGAGACACACAGAAAAAGAGGGATGGGACATTAGAGGAGGGCTGCGGGGACAATAAAAGCAAATATAAACTAAATAGCACGGAGATTAGTAATGTGAAATGTAATAGACTGTTGTGCGTTTGGAGAAAAAGGACAGAAAGGGAAAAGGGCGAAGCGAGAGAGGAAAGGAAAAATACAAGAGAAAGCGAAATATTTACTGTAGGAAGTTTTGGAGAGAGAGTAAAGAGAAAGCGAGGAAAAAGGTCTTTAATACCTCAGGAACATGAAGAAATATATTGAGAGATAAAAGAAAAAATAAAGCAGCAGCACATAGTGAGGAGAAAATAAGACAATGGGAACCGTAACGGGGAGGAAGTGAGCCGTAGAGAAACACGGCGATGAAGAGGGGAGAAGCGCTGACAGGGAGACGGAGTGATTTGTGGAGGGCAGGCGCTCGGTAAATCAGACAGGTGGAGATCCTAAAAGCCTCGTTAATTCGGCAGGGTGGAGGAGGGACTGACGGCGCCGACCAGCGGAAGAGGAGGTTGCGGCAGATGACGAAAAACAGCGTGGGACAACTTGAGCACTCTCAACCACACGCGCCACCTGTGCGGGCGACTGAAGATGACTGAAATTGCTTCAGATAAGCAATAAACAAAAGACGACTGTTTATTCAAATAAAGTTACTTATCCGGTGTTTCTTTTCGTATCTCAGCGTGACTCCGCATAATCAAAAAGTTAATACATGCTAATTCCCCAAACAAGCAAACAAAACAGTATCGCACTTCCACCTCCTATAAATAAATATACACCTACAATGCCTCAAAAGTGTTTACCTTTCTTCATTAGAAGTCAAAGTAAACAAAGCATTTGCATTGATCTAAATTAATGCAAATAAAACCCCAGTCAATACAGCATCAAGCAGAGGGGCCGCAGACATTTTCCCAAATCTTTTTCAAACTGCTGAGGCTCTGTCGCGTTTTCAACTCTGGGTAGAAAGTCTACCCATCTGGTCCTGGCTGGATTGGAATAGTCCAAAGATTACCTCCTACGGTCCGTTGCTAACTGCTTTCCCGTGGCTTCTGTGGAAAACGTCACAGGGAATCAGACTCCATTTATTCATTCGACCCTCCGCAATCTGGAGGGTCCCTGCAGCGTGCTGCTGGAGACACCAGGACTCCTGCAGGGGATGGTGTGTTTTTGGGAGGGGGGGGGTGGGCGCAGTGCTTTGCTTTAGTATGACGGTTAAAAACCATAAACGATGATAGTAGAGCAGTGATTTTAAACCTGAGTGCCGCGGGAAAGGGTCCCATCTCACCTAATCCGTCAAGAGAAATTATTTGCTGCGATTTAGTTGCAGCAAATACTTGGTAGAAGTAAATGATGCGCAGAAGAGGTTGACGTGAAAAGAACAAGGAGAAATATTTTAGAAGGAAAAATGCAGACTCTAAACTGGACCCCGAGCAAAAAGAAAAAGGAAAAAAAAGGTGAGCTTGAACACTGGATTTACTTCAACTGAAGATGACACCGACCACACCGTTAAACCAGGAAATGTTTCATCTTGTACCTTTTTTGAGTTGTTGGTTTGCATATTTTTGATGTACAGAAAAGGTTGAGAAATAAAGTCCAGGAGATCTGACTGGGTCCAAAGTACGATCAGTCAACAAACCTCGACATTATCAAAAGCTTATATTAAGCAAAAAATATTTGAACATTCAAATGATTGTGGCAAAGGATTTCTCTATAGCAGGGGTCTCAAACTCAAATCAGCTGCGGGCCAGATGCAGCCCACTTCAACCGAACGCGGGCCAGACTAGCGTCCGAACGGCATGGTCGACAATAACACAACTTAACACTCACTTTCAAAAGCAGTCATTGAACCCCACCCTGGGGGATCGGTCCGAATGAGACTACAACACTAGTCCTCCTTTAACTCAGCGGGGGAGACCTAAGGTCATGTGACCGTGGAATTCCTTTATAGCCAAACGTGAAGTTACGTGAATCGAAGCTGCGTAGTAATGGACGGAGACGCTCGTCGGTGACGTCAGATGCTTCATGTGTTGTTAGTGTGAGTCGTAAAGGAAAACTTTATTAAACGAGCGATGCTAACGGTTAGTCACATGATCACCTGCGCGAAAGAGGGCAGGAAACTGAATTTCACCCTCCTGCTCTCTGCACCTCGGCCAACACACACGACCCGCCCCCCATGTCAGTCACATGCATGCCACGTTCACTGGACAAGCACACAGTAGGAAACCAGAACATCATAACATGTCCCACACAGCAGCTGACAGTGGGGTTACAGTATAAAACTTCCTTTTTTTCCTGTCCTTTTTCTCCAAACTTAGGAAATTAAAAAAAAGGTGCCGTTTTGAATGTCAAATACGTTCAGTTTGATTCATCAAAACTAAATTATTGAGATATTTATATTCATGTCCCTATGTGTGAAAGAGGTTGAATCATGAGGTTAACGGGATTAACACGTCGCCCCACACCTAATCTTCTGCAGGTACCGTTTCCATTGATAAGACAAGATGAGAAAGGGTCAATTGAAAACGTAGAAAGAGACATAAATTCCCAGGTACAAAGACAAAGCTGGCCACATACCGGCCTGGCAACCTGCTGTTTGCCAAACGTAGAGCACTATAAATGAAAAACGGAGCCCTCTGAACAATGCACCTCTCTGCAACGTTCTATGATGATTAATCGGGTTCCATTTGTCCAGGAAGCTGCTGGGTCAATAACACAAGATTACATGGAGCAAGTACTGTAGATGTCCGTAATAGAGGCTCCCATTCTTTGTGTGCGCCGTTTGGCCATTGTGCGAAACGCGGTGAAACCATTAAAAGGGGCCGCCTGTGATATTGTGTGTGACGTGTGTGTTTGTGGGGGTTAGGCCTGCGGACGGATGATGAGAAGGTCTGTAGGAGAGGATGATGGATCATAATAGCTGGAGGACGTGTCTCCAAGCATTTGTGTGGGTTCTTTAGTTGCCCCCGTTGTGAATTCCTCGTGTTCGTGCAGCAGACTACTTGTAGTCACAGATGCATGTTTGCTGAAACTGTGTGAGTGTGTGTGTGTGTGTGTGTGTGTGTGTGTGTGAGAGAGAGAGGACTTATCCACGGCTGTCAGCGGAGGCCGCGGTGAGTCAGCCTGGATTATCAGACACTTCAGACTCATTTCCACTCCAAAGAACGATGAACGAATAATGTGGTTGTTTGAACGTAGGTGTCTGTTTGTGCGCACGTAGGCGCAGATCAGTGACGAGCAGTGTGCCTCAGCACAGTGTGCGTGTGTGTGTGTGTGTGTGTGTGTGAGGCCCGTCTCATTTGCATAGGTTGGCAAATGTTTATGATGCATCTGGCTGAGGTTACAGTTGCAGATGGTACGTAGCTGACTTCATCTGTGTGTGTGGATTTTTCTGGTGTTTAAGGTGCTCCTGGCCAAGTTTGTGTGTGTGTGTGTGTGTGTGTGTTTAGAGTCTTTGGGCACAGAGCATCTGTGTGACTCAACGTGCTGCTGCGGCTTTTAAATGGAGTTAGTGCGGCGTCACACTGGTACAGAGAAAGAATAAAACCAGAGTACTTTCACTTACTCATTAGAATAATAATAAGCTTTTAGTCCGTGTGAAACAGCTCTCAGGTGGTTTTTGAAGGTCAGTGTCCGAGCGTGACTATCTAACCTCCTCAACCTACTCTTCTTATGGGTAACGATAAGTAAATGACTATAGCAGAAGTAGCCCTTCTAGGGCTGCAAATTATTATTTCATTGAGCAGAAACAAAAGGCGGCAGGTGATTTTCTGTGGGCGGATGGAAGCACCTGCAGTGAGGAGAGGAATGAGCAACATGACAGATATTTGAGGGTTGGGATTCATAAAGCTCATGTCCCATCAGTGTGAGCTCATGACAGGAATAACCTTTGAACCCCCGTCTGTGTTTCACACTATCGAGCCGATGGTGGGATCACAGCTTGTATTTCTTCTTTGTTTTGACGGTATATATAACAAAGTGATTGGAATCCAAAACTTTGATGCAAACACAAGGAGTAACAATACAATAGACCTGCCATTCAAGTCACTATTGTGATTTTCATCAAATAGGTTTGATAATCTCAAGTTTTGCATTTTTTACACTGCCAAACTGCCCATTTCTGTCCTTGGACAAGGATTTTTTCCCAGATACTTCTACGAGCCCATTCGACAGTTGCAGACTCCGAGCCGGGAAAAAGTTGAGAAAAGTAACTTATAATAAAGAGTTGAGAGTGGAATGTGCTCCTTTTAAGGCAGAAACAGAGGCACAGTTCTTTACAACTCCACCAGCGGGGAAATCAACTGTCGTCCGTAGCAACGGGCCGAGCCGGCCTGCTGCTCTGAATAAGTGTGCATGAACAATGTTACAAGCAGAGAAGCGTCTCTGCATTAATGTGGATTGCTTATTGCCTCCGGTAGATATCGTTTACCTTTGTTTGCTTTGGGTGGTCCTCAGTGGGTACATGTATGTATAAACCTGAAGTACCGTATTTTAATTGGTGTGTGTGTGTGTGTGTGTGTGTGTGTTACCCAGAGCTTGCAGCTTGCCTGCTGCGATACGAGATGCAGTTGGTTGTGTCTACAGCTGAGAGAAATACACCTGCTGCTTTCCTGCTGACTTTGTGTCTGCAAGAGCATCTGTGTGGGAACACCTCTGTGTGTGTGTGTGTGTGTGTGTGTGTGTGTGTGTGTCCTTTTCCCATGTATACATGCTGGTAAGCTGATGTTTCTGCTGCCGTCTGCGCTTTGTGTCAGTCGGTGGTGTGAGCGCTTCAGTTCATGAAAGCGAGCGCGCGTGCGTGCGTGCGCGCGCTCGAGAGTTACCTGGTGCTTTTGCTGCTGCTGCTTACTCATGTTGCGACTGTAGGTGTTGTACTTGACAATGTCTTGGCTCATGTCATCCACCCTGTCCATCAGGAGCTGAAGGCTCTTCTCGAGATGATTGCTAAAAGAAATATAGGAAAGAAAGTCAATCCAACGGTCGTGTGCAGCCGCCAGCACTTGTGTTCAGCATTGACATTTGTCCACCCAGCAGCCAGTTAGTTTTTTCTCTTCAATTGAAATCTATTTTAATGTTGCTTTTCAGTCTACACACAATATGCTGCGTTTAAATTAAGCATTCATGGAAAAAAGTGACAGCAAACCACCATCGGGAAAAATAAAGGTTAAAGGTCTCGTCGAACTCCTGGTAGACAGGAACTCTGGGATTTGTGGATTATAAACGGGTTCCAGAGCACTCCGACCCGAGGAGCCTTGCTCTCGTCCCTGGGCTTCATCGCTCCGCTCCGGTATCACATGACTCTTTGCCTCATCTCTTCTCCCAACGGTGCCCGGCGGACAACGCTCAACACAAGTCCTCCAGCACGCCTCTACTCCCATGAGGAGGAGCGCACAATGTCGCACTGCTGCCTTACGGTCAACCTTGCCGAGGCTGCGGCGCTCTACTTCAACCCCCCCTCACACTTTCCTCTGAGGAATTGTATGGTTTCGTACGAATGTTTGGGAGCTACATGATGCAGAATGTACTGTAAGAAAACAGATTCTTAATGTTTATTTTAATAGCAACTGCACCCGCAAGGACTGCCAGCACTGTGTATATTTTGGCTGTGTGTACACTTGAGCTGGTAACTGTTTCTAGTGTGTGTGTTTGTTATTTCTATGAATTTTTAGAGGCTGAGGCTAAGCATTTTGGGTCATTTTAGTTGCTTTCCTCTTTGCCGCTAGATTTTTCAATTACCAATTTTATAAACGAATGGCCCTCTCGCTCTCGGCTCCTCACACTCGTCTGTTGCGAAAAAAACAAAAACTGAATATAAATCAGAATTGACCCGAGAAAAACACACTCCTTTTTTTGTTTGAGTTTGTTCTTTCATTTCAATGACTCTCCCGCTGTTTGAGGTGCCGTTGAACACCAGTCGTCATGGTTTCTTCACGTTGTCGCTATGCTGCTGATAAGGAGAACTTCACTGAATGTCCTCATGTGTCATTTGAAACCTTTACAGGTTCCACATATTTAAAAGGTTTTAAGGGCCCGTATGAGTATGACATGCATACCATTAATTTCACCAGCTATAAATGGTCCCTGGGACTATGAAGATAATGATAGAAATTAAAATACGCAATTGATGGAATTATACAATCCAGGAGTCAAACTTGCTGCCGTACTTCAAAAAAGGTTCTGTATCTCATACTATTTTTGTTATTAGTACCTACATAGGAACGGCCAGTATTGAAGTGCAGGAAGTGCCAAGAGGTGTGAAGTCATTCATTTTTGAACATGCGTGTGCATAAAATTAAGCATTCATTATCCAAAATATATGCACACTCTGAAGCCACCCATCCTTATCCGTCATCGTCACCTCAGCATTTCGCTGCCATCAAACACCTTCGACTGATAAAAGATAGATAAATGATAATGCTATTTAAATGAACGTACACACACATACACAAAGTCCATCAAACTCCGCCTCCATAGCCAGAGCAAGTTAACGTAACCACACACACCCAGATCATTTTATGAACATGACCAGCCGTAACAGCGCCCTCATCATGGCCCGGCTCCAGTAGGGGGCGTGGTCAGCCTCGAGGCCGGCCGCTGCCCTGCTACTGCACGATGTCAGGCTCACTTTTGAAAACTGAAATTAAAATAAAAAGAGTGAGACTCCCGGTCCCTCAGTGTAGCCCGCTGAACCGTATTGTATTTTGTCATCAGTCTATCAAGTCAGAGCTGTAAACATGAAATGGCCCAAGACCAAATCCTGCCACAGCACTCCCCTGCAGAGTCCCTCTCACTGTGTCAAAGTTGATTCTGCCTGACGAAAGCCGTTTAAAACTATTTCATCGAGCAATATGGTGGCTAATTTGTGTGCTGTGCATTCATAATATATGCTGAGGAAAACATTTAGTCAGAGTGGGATGCTTCCAAACATCTGTCGTTTATGCATGCGTCAAATGCTTCAGCTGTGTGTGTCAGTGCATGAGATTGTGTTGACCAGATTTTAATTTAGAATTTTGGACAGTCTTCCTGAGTCCTTGACACGCTTGGTGATAAGAGGGTGCTGCTGCTAATATTGGTATTACTACCCTTACTGCTGCTCCCCCTAATACAGCTACTACTACTACTACTACTGCTAATACAGCTACAACTGCTACTGCTGCTAATCCAACTACTACTGCTGCTAATCCAACTACTACTGCTGCTAATCCAACTACTACTGCTGCTAATCCAACTACTACTGCTGCTAATACAACTACTACTACTGCTGCTGCTAATACAACTACTACTACTGCTGCTGCTAATACAACTACTACTGCTGCTAATACAACTACTGCTGCTGCTAATACAACTACTACTACTGCTGCTGCTAATACAAGTACTACTACTACTGCTGCTGCTAATACTACTACTGCTAATACAACTACTGCTAATACAACTACTACTACTACTGCTAATACAACGAATACTTTCAATCACATTGAGTTTGCACTGCTCTTAACAGTTTCTTTTGAGCTGAACTGGTTGTCAATGCATGTCTAAAAAAGCTCAAATATTAACAGAAAACACTACCGTTTCTAATTGTTGACAAATTGATTGGTAATTCAAAATAGCCAAAAGCACAGTTAAATGTGGTTGGAGAAACCACACGCTGGATACATTGTACACTACTGGTTATAGGCTCAGAATCATTGAATTATTCAGTCAGGTCAGAAAGTCCTCCGATCAATCCTGAATAAAAAAAATCAAAGTCTACGGCGGAACTTCCCATCATCCCGTATTCTATTTTAAGGTCAGGTTCAATGCCAGCCAGTGTAGTGTAGTGTAGTGTAGTGTGTACAACAGAAGACAAATTCTAAAGTTGAAATAATCAAAAAATTAGCGGTGATTCGGCAAATCGAAAGTTCAGAGTAGAGTTCCTTAAAGCTGACAAGGAAGTGACTTCCATTTTTAGTGCTTTACACTGACGGAGCCTTTTTCACTGACTGACTAAGGCACAATATGGATTTCTGGATTGCTCTAGTAGAATAATGACTTTTTTTAAAAGGACATACATGGAGTCTTGAGCCAACTTAAGATTATAGTATTACCTCACTGAAAATGTAGTGCACAAAAATGATATTTGGCTTAGTCGTGGGACTGACACAAATTCATCATCCCAGTTGCCCTTGATCATTATTTCATTGCCACAAAGACCTGTACAAACACATCATGGATGCTCATAGATGAAGTGAGTGCGTTTAGGATCATTTTTCCAGAATGCATCTCCTTCAAGGCAACATTTCTCTTTGTTGCCGAGGTTCCAGTTCTGCCACATTCCCATTACAGCTGCAGCTCTAACAACGCCTCACATTAGTCTTTTCTCCCTGCACTCAACAATGCCCTTCAATTACTGAATACGTATCACAAGGTTAGTCCTGTAGAGCAGGGATCGGTGGACCTATTCTGCCGTCGTCCACGAGTTCTGTGTGCAAGGCCAATTACACCAAGCAGGCAGGAGATGCTGGACTGAGGAGCTGCTCACAGAACAGAAAGCCAATATGAGGTGTAAAGGGGGACTTACTGAAAGCTTTGGCTCACATGACTATAAGCTGCTTTGTAACTTTGCAAATATTCAAGCATTTCAGATGTTTTTTTTTGGGGGGGGGGCTAGATGAATGAATTTACATTGGTGCAATCCATCACCACGATCAACATCATCATCTGTGGTAAGAACAACGCTGCGTGCTGGAGTGAAACTGCATTCACTCAGCCTTAGACCCACATGACATTGACAAATGGGCCTGCAGATTGGAAAATGAGACAAAGGGGAAAAACATTAAATAAAACCCATTATGGTTGTCTTTTTTTTGAAGGGGTGGAAATGAGGAGAAAAGGGCGGGGCTGTCAGTAGAAGATGTAGGGAGACAAAACACTACAATCCAATACAAGGACGGAGCCGCGCCGCAATCTGACAACTTCAGGAAACAATTTCATCTTGCCAGACATCCCACCGGCAGTCACGCCGGAAAACCCACGGGGAGAGCCAGGCTGCTTTTGCCCCATTTCGGGTCATATCATGAGCCATGTTTCAACTTCAGAGTAGTCCTTTGCAAAAATGGAACCACATGCAATTTTCTCCTTCGGTCTGTTTGACAATTCTAACAAATGACTGTGCCGGTGCCACACATCCCTCCCAGCGCTGTACATCCGAGCGCTTTTCTAATTCGTGACGACTTTTGTGATACGGGACACAGATGAGGAGAATCACAACAACTGCTGATGTGCTGCACTGCAGCGTGCGAGTGCTCCGCGAGCTAACGGAGTATAAATCAGCACTTTGAGTCATTACTGTGCTGATTTCTCACACCTGCCCCTGGGAGGCTTCACAGCTGCTGCTCCAATCGCAGCGGTTTATCTCCATAAATGATTGCTGATAAATTCCTGTGAGACCGATGCCGAGAGCCGCTGAGATCTAAATGAGAGTGCCAGCCTGTGAGTTAATATGGTGGGGTGATATTTGGTCATATTGTGCTCATTAGTGATGGAAGACAAAGTTTGATGGCAGGTCCGGTCTTTTGGAGGCAATTGTGAATAGTTATGTTTTGACATTTAGACGTGGCATTTACTGTACCTAGTGTTGCACTCAACACTCCAATCAAACAGCTGATACCAACCAATAAGTTCCTAAAGTAAGATAAGCAGTTGGGAGTCAGATTTTAGTGTGAAGTATGTCCAAACAACAAATACGTGTCGAGGTTTGTTTCATTCCCCTGCGATGCACAATGCAAAACTGTGAAAGACATGATCATGACTGACAACAATCACAATTTGGGATGTCACGATGCAGAACGCCTCGCCCGTCTGGTACCGTAACCCAGGCAGGTTAACAAGGGTTCCGAAGGAGTGGGCAGGTGTCATCATCAACAAAGACAATCCAGAGCTATTCCTACTAACAAGGAGCGTCTCTGAAGCCACATGTCGACAAAGTGGACGAAGAAGTCCCTCGTGAGTGCCAGAGACTTTCACTGGGTGACATATTCCTTCAGTGTAGGTCGTGTAATTCAGCTAATTGTTTGTACTTTTCACAGTTTATGACATTGCAGCTCCACAAAATCAGACCCTGCCTTCATTAGTGTTGTCAGCAGTGACAGTGACCCACACATTGTACATCCCTAATGAAAATGGATGAAGTAAACGGTGAAGCAGGTCACCCAATGCAGTAATACGAAAAGGCTACACAAACTATGCCTCATCACTAAGAACAACATCGGGAGATTTAGTCTTTTCATAAGATTTTTGTAATAATACAAGGATAAAAATGTATGGAGGCCCTACTTAGAAGCACGTGAATTTCCAAAAAGGCAATCAGTAAATCAATAAAACCATGGCGGATACGATTAGGCCTAAAACATCTGTAGACCAAGACAAATTCCTTGTATGTTTGACATATTTTGGCAATAAATGTTTCCTAATTCTTTCGATAAATGTACCTTAGAACAGAGCAGAAGACGTGGACTAAAGCCCAGGAGTTACCTAATGTCAAATCAATTTTAATTTAGCACTGGCTTTAACTCATGTCTGTGAAGGCACCCTGTACATTTAGAGTGACATTGTATCGTGTTTGAAGTGCTGTTATTTACATATTTACGCTATTTCCCTTGATTTGATTGTGGCAATATTTTACAAAAAGGAAGATTAGATCCCTCGGGGTCCATTGACAAAATACTGATATGACAGTATTTTTCCTATATTGCTGAGGAGCTTACAAAACAAGTCTGTGTGCTGTCGCAGATTTTGAAAAGGAATCAAATTCAAAGGGATGAGAAATTGAATTTTTAGAGATTTAGGTCCTGAGAATGACGCGCTTCCTGCCATTACGATCTTAAAACACATCTCTACAACGGCAATATGTACACGGGAGCTTTGTATTTCAACAACAAACAGAGCAAAGAACCTGGAAATTATAGTCGAGGGAGAAACCAAAAGTTTCTACAGCAGTGAGCGTTTTATCTGCGAGATCCCCCACCCCTTCTCTATTCAATTTACAGAAAGATTTCCTCTACTTTATGCAGGACAGACATTGATAAACCAACTTAATACACCACAACACTATGCAGTCACCTGAGACAAAACATGTTAGAAAATAGTTGTTCCAAAAAGTAAACCAGGTGCACACTTTCCCAACCACAGCTTTTGGCCTAAGGCCTTCCAACGACTGACCTGCTGGAGAGGTTGAGCAGTTCATGCTTGTCGGCCACCGTGGACTTGTCCTCCAGATCCCACATCAGTGCGTTGATGAGGTGGGAGTTTTTGATGATAATTGGCACCTCTTCGAACATATGCTCAAAGCCAATGTTAGCCTTCTTCAAGCTGGAGAGGGAAGAGAAGATGGAAAGGAAGAGATAACTTGAGTTAGAACTTGTCATTTCCCTCCAAAGAAATAGCATCATTATTATTTTTGGACCCCATTTGCATTACACACTGCATACAGTCAATGCTTTTAACTAGCAGTAATAATCAAACAAAAAACATATTTCAAAAGGGGATAACTTGTTCTTTCATGCAAAAACTACACATGGGACTCGGCACAAGAGTGAGTGCGAATCCGTGGTGGAAATTAGCCTGTGGCAAGCAAAACCCATTTCAAGACGCAGTGGATCTGAACACATTGTTCATGAACAAAGGCCCGGCGGGGTTAACAGTTGTCTAACCTCCAGCTCCGATGCAACGCCACGCTTTAAACATCTGTTTTGCTGGAGGCAGAGATCTTCTACGGTTTCATTCGCATTGCGTACTTACAATAAGAGGTTGCAAATGGAGCATTGTACCGTAGCCACTTTGCTTGTAGATTTAGGTAAAATGGACCCAACCAAATGAATATTAATAGCCAGGTTACACCTGCTGCATTCCAATATCTGAAGAGGTTGTGATCTGAGAGGATGTCCACAGTGTGCAGCCTGAGCGATGTTACAGCCAGTCGTCTAAATGACTATTTTATGGGCTCTGCTGACAAAACCGCTTCTTTGTCCGGACAAATAGTGAATCTCTTTTTCTCTGACATAGGCCTGTTAACACAAAATGAAACTTATATAAATAAATAGTATAACCTTGTGCGCAGTGCATGAGCTCCAAACTAGTGTCTGTATACGTCCAACGTCGGCTTGTTAGGGGAATCATTACACTCGGCGCATGGATTCAACATGTGCACGGCATTTGTGTATTGAAAATATCCATGTGATAAATATATGCGTCGCACCATCTGATTTTGATAAGGTCATTCCAAAAAATGACAATCAGCTCAGGCCAACCTTAAGAGGACGCTGTTAAAGGTAGGGGACAATTCTGCCTCGGGCTCTGAGTGGGAGGAAGATGAGGACGGCTAGCAGAAAGTCTACCAGTAAAATGTATAATAATTTACCACGAATACGGTGTGTAATAAATATTGGCACAGCTATCCATCTACAGGTCCTTGAAAATATTTCCTGCAAACGGTGACCTTTTCGAAGGCTTTCAGAGTGGTATGAAAAGTTGTCTATGAGGGGTAACAAGGACACCGCATTGCGGGCAGGACAAAATGGTTAGCCCTACCGGACTTAGACACACTTAATGCCATGCTCTTTCTGAGTCGGGCCCCATCGGACGAAGCCAAAGGTCGACTCCGCAGGCCGACTAATTTGATGCTTCATATTGCGTGCTGAAGTGGAGGCTATTGACCACTGCCTCCGTGGCCCCAGCGGACTTGGAGGGCAGTTCAAAGGGATCGGGCTATTCAGAACTCATCTATCCAGCCTTTCCTTTCAGGAAGGTACACAATATATGTCAGCTTACGTGACATCAAATACACAGACATGAAAGGACTTTCTGTTGTACAAAGTGTTGTGTGAGGGAAATTAAACATTTCTGAAGCTCCGAATCTGAATCCATATTACGGATATCCAGATTTCCTGTCTTTTCATAAAATAATAGCGTTGAGGCAAGATTGTTATGTGGCAATATTTACCTTTCCTGCCCCGCCCTCTCAATTACAGGCTTATTGGGAACACCGATTGGGGCTGTAATAAACCATGTGAACCAAGGAAAAGCTAAAGAAATGAGGGATTCTGATCCTGGGCCAAACACACTGGGCCAATAACAAGAGTCCCTGGCAACAGAGACAAAGGTGGAGAGATACAGAGGAAATGGAAAGGGAAATTAAATGATGCCATAAAATTGTCCCCTCAAGTACACTTAGTGAATTCAAAGATTTATATCGGGAGGCCCTGAACGGACAGCAATGCGATCTCCCCCAGGACGTCTTCCTGATGCCGTTAGCTTGCATATTTTCAGTGCGTGTCTCTCCAAGCGCCCGTTTGTGCATGTGTGAGTTGGCGCACTTTGACTACCCTGAACTGCCTGGGACATCGTCCCCCTCATTACATTTAGCTGCGCTCTGAAAGCAATTACCATAAGCCTCACGGTCAGAAAAAGTGTAATCATGGTACATTTGTTGGACAGGCAAGGACGATCTGATAAATCTTCATCACCACCAGCATCAATCCGCAACTGCTTCTTAATGCCTCCCCTGTGGATGCAAAAGCCTTTATTTTCATTTGATGGATAAGTAGAGTCAAAAAAGAAGCAAACAGGCAAACCCGAACAGCGATGTTAAGACTACCAGGCTATGTGTGCACATATTATAACTAAACCCATGTGTGCATGTTTCCTTCCATCAAGTGTCTTGTTGTGTGATTCGCTGTGAGCTACTCACCACTCAGGTGTGAAATCTTTCTCTTTGCAGATCTCCATGAGTTTGGGGGTGAGCCTGTAGGCCTTGAGGGACAGGGAGCCTTGCGCCGTCTTTATGGGGTCTAGAATGACAAGGAGAGCGATAGAGTTGAAAAACATACTGTACCGCGTCCCCATGGCGAAGGAAGACTCCAGAGAACACAAGCGTCTTGAGGAATTGAAGCAAGACTGGTAGCATTTCACAGCAGGAAAACCGAGTCGGAACATCTGTTCACACAACTCAGTCTCACTCATCGGGCGTGTTTTTTTTAAAGGTTTGCTGAGCGTTTGTAAACTGATGTTTGTGTCATTAAACCCGGTCTCCCTTTTTTTTCATCAAAACTTTGGACTCTTATTGGATATTTGTTTAGCATGGAGGCTTGTGAGAATAGCCTGCCAGGTTTTATTTGGGACTCAATCACTTCCATAGAAAATATCCTTGACTAAAAACAACAAGTTGTAGCACTTTAATTGCACTTGTAATGGCTATCTATGGGCTGATCTATAGAAAGTTGTAAATCGGCTTATTTGATGAAATTGCACATTGTTAAAACCCACAACATCCTTGGACAATGATTTAAGAGTGAGGAGGATTCCAGAAGCAGAAACTATGTACCTCTGCAACTATACCGTTCAGTGATACTGTGCACACTGAGCTGTGTGGGTTTGCATTTTGCACACCATCATAGGCCAAAGCCACAATCCAGAATGCATGTTGTTCTTACTAAAGTCAAGCAGCGAAGAGTATATATAACGCACTACATTTGTATTCATGTTTACACATCTCAGAAGTGTAAAGTTACTAATTATTGCAAACATTGAAAGACGTCTAACTGATCAGAGCATCCAGTGTCTTGAGCACAGAAAAGTAAAAAAAGTTCTAGCAGGAGAGGAGCTGCCCTAAAAAGAATCAGGTGAGATCCAGTCTCTCCCCATTAGATAGCTTACTGGTTTTGTTTTGACATTTAACTGGAATTCTTTTCTATCCATTCTACAGCTGGAAAACCCACGTGTCTGTGTAGGCGTCCTAATGTGAGCAGCGAGGAAAGGAGTGGAGGAGCTAGTGGTCCGTCCATCGCAAAATGACATTTACACAGCAGGCTCTACGACATTAAACCAACTGAAGGCAAGTTAAGGTAACACTTAAAAAGACAGGAAAATGTCAAGTTTCTAGAGCGACTCTGGGGAAGGGCTCGGTCGCCCAATTTTATTCCACATCACTTCCACATCCCGACTGAGTCACCAAAACAGCGCGAAGTGAGCGGCGAGCTAATGACTAGCAGAGGAAAACCAAAATCAATTATTTCCCTTTGTCTTTAAAGAGCGATGATGTCAATTCCTCTGAGGGGCTTTGATCCATTAAGCGCTGCATTATTGACTGACACTAACAGGGGGCCTCATTTCGAATGAGAAAGGGCCGACTGCCCGCCTCGTTGGCCAGCTGGCTGGCGGGACCAGATCAGAGGGGTTCAGATGTCTGCTGGTTAAAATGAATCTTTGCCCGTCGAGGATTTGTACAATTTGAGAAGATGACAACCCTGAAGTTTGGAGGCAAAGAACAGGGCCGTGAGGAGTTCCTTCACACCAGCGGTTGCCCACGCTGCTTTGGCTGGCGAGCGACTTTTTAAAAAGCAACCAAGTCATGACAATCTATTTTTTTAAAAGGGGGATTTGGGGTTTCTGCCTCATTCGTGACTGGAAGGAAATGTGGATAAACACTAAGGCATTTAAACGGGAGACTGATTTCAGGTCAGTGAGCATCTGACTATATGGCCATCCGCACCTTTCAGTACGTGAGCCTGAAAGGAGGAAGACGCGCCACATTGTGTCGTATACAATATTGGGCATTTAGACCACGACTATATTAGAATGCACTAATATACTGCCTTAGAAGTCAATGAGCAGCGATTGTACGTAGTAGTGAATCAGCACGTATTTAGACACAGAGGAGTTAAATGCAGTGTTTAGCGCTGACAGCTCTTTTTCGCGGTCAGGTCGGTTTTTATATCGTTGTACTTTGAAAGACAGCTTTATCCATCCGGGACGGCATCCGTGGTGCAGCAATTACAGGCAGCTCTTAAAGGTCTTTACTGCTGAGCAGGTGGAGGCACACGATGCCAATACGTGACCTTTTAGTGCAGCGGTTCCCAAACTCAAGAATGCCGCGGCCCACTTTGAAATCTGAAAATCTTTTGCGGCCCTCCCAAACCTTTAATCACAACTCTGATCAAAACATAAACTAGGGATGGTTAAATGACCGTAAGAATTTAACCGATAAATGTATTAACCGACCATGTATGTTTTGTATACCATTTTCTCCGGAGCTCATGTGCCGTGTTTTCCGCACAATAAGGCGCACCTTCAATGAATGACCCATTTTAGAACATTTTTCATATATAGCGCGCATCGGATTATAATGCGCATAAGATACTGCAGTCAGGCGTTTGACGTCGGGGCGGGTGGATGGGGGGGATGTGGAGACGGTGCTTGGTGGTTCAGCTACTGTAAAGAAAAGGGCACCGTCTCTCGCTCTTTAATCTCTCTCATATCTCACGCGCTTGAGCGCCCGCTCAGCATCTCGCCGTCGTAGACCAAGCTTTGGCATGTTTGGCAGAGCAACTTGAGCGCCGTGTACAACCAGCATGGATCAACCGGTTAAACCATATATATATAAGGCGCTCCGGATTATAAGGTGTACTGTCGTTTGAGAAAATGAAAGCTTTTTAAGTGCGCCTTGGAGTGTGGAAAATGCGGTATATTTACTTTAATACTACAAGAGGGCGCCCCGTTTGACATTGTTTTGTTTGGCGGCGCCTTTTGTTGAATAACGACAGGCGGACAAGAGCAGCAGTTTCGAGCGAGAGCCTTATTGTTTTATTAATCTGTTTAAATTGACCTCTCGCGGCCCACCTGCAGTACCTGCGCGGCCCACCAGTGGGCCCACACTTTGGGAATCGCTGTTTTTGTGGATACCGTGTTAATCTTGACCCGGTTTCCCTGCCCCGTCGGTGGGACCCTCCAGCTCTCTGGGCCGGACACCACTCTACCAAAGCAACATTGAAACACACGGTTTGTGTTTTTTCAAAAAGGTATTGTAAACCTCGAATTCAAAGACTATGGCCAAAGCCCGACTTGTTTATGTACAGTGACAATTAGGAATTCCCTTTTCTTCCAGCTATTAACAATGTATTGGATTTACCTGTAGATATTTCGGTGCAGTTATCTTGTGACCTACCAATCTCGTATACAGTTCCTATATTACTTTGACTATGAAGTTGGGCTGAGGGGAAAGAAGTCCAGTTGTTGTCCTCCTTCCGTCCGGGTCAACTTACCATAAATGAGCACGACGGACTCTTCGATGGCGTGCTGATAGCTGAACTGAGAGTCGAGCAGCGCTCGGCTGACAAAGGAGCCATAGTAGGTGGACTGGTACCAGCCCACATGCAGATGGTCAATGTTGACGTGGCGCAGAGAACGCATCATCTCCATCTGGTACTGGACTACAGGCAGAGAGAGAAGTACAAACAGAGGAGTGAGACGGAAAAAGAGAAAAAACATTTCATTCAAAATTAAACTTCACTAAAAAAAAATTGGGAGGAATCTGAATATCTGGTCTCCATTTGGAACTGGACATGGTGCAAGAACAGACGGCAGGGAGAAAAACAAAATTCAACAAACAAGTGGTTGAGAATCCTAAAACAAAACCTCAACCTGGACATCATTCACTCTTTCATTCCTTGTGTCAGAAAATATTTCACGACAGAAAAAAAAAAAAAAAAAAAGAAAGAAAATAGATGGATAGACACACAGATGGGCTTTAGCTACTGCAGAAAAGACTCGATACATCACAGGGAGAACCATTTCATTACACCAGACACATCCTGAGGACGGGCAGCCAGAAATACAAGCAACCAAAGCACCAAAGCAAAACAACATCTCCATGCAGGCTAGCTGCAGGACGTTGATAAATCAGGTATTATTGGGCAGCTGTGGTCCCCGAGACCCCAGCCTGTAGAGCACATCCATCTCCTACTGGGGCTGTTAACAAGAACAACATGGAGAGGCGGGAAGCAGACAAACAGAAACCGAGCAAAGAGAATGGCAAGGGGGAGGATAGTGGAGAGAGAGGAAGACGTCCATGTCGCAGAGGGAGGAGGAAGGGGATGAGATGAGGAAGAGGGTGGTGAGGCGTCTAGAAAAAAGGAAGAAGCGGGAATGAGTGAGTGTCAAAAACGTGTTCTTCTCCTCAGGGTCCTCTCTAATTGTCTGAATTTGACCGCTGGGGATGCTGCTATGTAAAGCAGGGCGTGAATTCAGTCAAAATACATCAACGCGTGGTCACCTGAAGCGATCTGACATCTGCGAGTACAGGCGGCACTCACGACAAGAGCAGCCACACACGCAAAACCTACAGGTTTATTTGCATTATCTTATCCAGTCGTTAGCCAGCCTGCCACAAGCACCTCATTTGTTGCGCTGCCTCTGCTGTACTGCAGAGAATAAATTGCACCGGTCTGCCCACATTTACACATTTTTCCCCACCCCCCCAGAGCAGGAGAGCGTCCCGAGGAGACGGGCAACTCCAGACAATCAAACAAGGAACATGTGGATCGGAACATCGATGACGGACGGACAAAGAGGCCTCATTCACGGGCGGTCCTGCCGGGATGGACCGGCTGCACTAGGCCGGCCTTATCTGGCCTTTTTAATCCACGATGGACATTGACAGTGAGATAAAAAGCAAGCACCCTGAATTCACTGGATAATAGGGTGGAGAGATGGCAAGCAGGGAAAGGCATTCGGGAAGATTGGGTATCATCAGGCGGAAGACACGAGATTGGGGATCGTGTAGAAACTCAGTGACAAACCACCGAGGGAGAGGTGTCACGTGGTGTCACACGTGTGTGTGTGTGTGTGTGTGTGTGTCTGCAGAGAGTGTGATTGATTCTCAAGCGTAGTAGCAAACCCAATAGAGAATGTGTGTAGACTATAATTTGGAAAGGGGGGCGATTCGTCCCGCAGCTCTCCACTGTATCGTTACCCTACACATTGCAAGAGGGGCGCTTCATTTAGCCACGAGTGCGACTACAAACAGAGTTCACCCCGCCCGTCAAAGGAGAAGGACAGAGCGGGGGCCCAGACTGGAGCTGGGCCAGCGTTTGTGCCATGCAGGGTCAGTGTGTCGGAGAGCAGCTCTGCCTCGGGGAACGCTAGCAGCAGACTTCAGGACACGTAGAGCCCGGTGGAGAGGGGAGGCCTCCTCCCACCTCGCCGCTGTACCGGTCTCTGGTCTTTGATGCCAAATCCGTACCAGTGCTTACCTCTCAAGCTACGCTGGTGCGCGTGCATGCCGCGACGCCCTGTCAATAGCTGGGAAATGGTCCAGAGTGATCCGTCTCCGAAGAGAAAGCTGGAGGATTGACGAGAGGCGCGCGGTCACCGATCGGCTTTCGCGTGTGTCTAATCTAACCGCCAGCTCCCCTCCTGGTTCTTGGTGACCCGCCCGTGGGTGCAGTCTTTATATGCCCAGTCACTGTTTTACATAGTTAGTCATCACTTCTTGCATCGACGGCCAAACCGTAGGCTCTGCCATCTTTTCCTCTCCTGTTATCGAGTGCGGAGACAGGAGGAGATGCCAAAGAAATCCAAAAAACTGGGACTCCAGCGAGTTTTCTCTAAGCCAGGAGGTCAACGGGGGGCTGAAAGCTACCAAGCGCCCACCCAAAGAGACAAAGACCGGTTGGCTGAAATGCTGCAGAGACACCAACATAGTTGGTAGTGAAAAACTGTTTATTGAGCCAAATGGTTGGGCCAATGCTTGAGCTTCTCCTGAATTACTAATGGATATTTGAATAGCAGTATCTCCAACAGGGATTTGGTCCAAGGCTAGCAGCTAATGCAAACAATTTACTGGCTTTACATCAATATGGTTAACTCTTGCCCATGATCCAAATGTTACTATTTGATATTGTTTTTCACTTCCTATTTCCATCACCAAAATATACATATATTAAACTACTGCATCCTGATACTATCTGTTTATGTTCTGATTACAGCACAAATACAGAACAGAGAGCCTTGTAAAGGACACAAAATCACCTTGTTTGTCCAGCCGCCGTGAAAGGAGACGAGAAGAGATTGAAGATCAACATGAAAGTAACTATGGTCTCAAGAAAGAAAGGGAGAATATTGCCAAAAGGTACAAAGGGTGATCTGAATGGTGGCACATGAAGGAACCAGGTTCTCTGCTGGCTTTGAGGTGGAGGTGAAGTGTTTAGCCTCGACTTCAAAACATCTGCTTCGTCCAACTATAGAAGAATCCAGTGCGGTAGCTCACAGATGTCCAAGTTAAAGATAGCAGCGCACTGATGATCAAATTCAGAAGAAATCCTTTTAGTACAAAGCAGGATGTTGACTTGCCGTTCACAAAAATCAGCTAGAAATGTGTGCTTCCTTCCCTCGCCCATTCTTTAAGCACATGAGCAGCCATTATGCGTACTACCTTTGCTATCTGGATCCTTTCCACAATGAGACTTAAGTCCTAAAAAGAATCCCAGCATGACCACCTCTCTGCATTTTCTATGGAGAGAATCCCCCCCCCCCCCCAAAACCCATCTTGCTCCCCATTGTTGCATTACCGAGACAGCATTTAACATTCTGTGGACATTAACGCCAGAATAAGCCAGAGAACAGCCAATTTCAGAATATCATCAAGGCACAGAGGTGGGAGCATGCGCCACTGTTTGCTATTCCTCATTCATTTTGGCTGTCCGGCCTCCTCTCCTAAAATCAATCAATCTGGGTCCCGAGGCCAGACGGGGAATGAGTCTGCCCGTTCCCTTCGTGCGTGTGTGTGAGTGAGTACGAGTGTGGGTGTGCGAGCGAGAAAGAGGAAAAGGAGGGCAGGGGGAGGTGTAAGACAAAGAAAGGAAAGTCTATTAAAAAAAAAAAAAAAAAAAGAAAGAAAATAGTATGGGTAAGCGAGAGAATGGTGAACAGGATGCGATTCTGATTGACTGGAAAAATTTGGGAGAGCAGGACTGTGTTTGTGAACACGAGTGTGTGTGGAAAGCGCAACGTCAAATACAAAGCGTGAGACGTGCGAAGCACGAGGACGCCGTGTATGGCGAGCCGACCATGTGAAGCCAGCATGTGTGTAGGGTAGAGTGGAGGCATCAGCTGAGAGTGGGGTTGTCACGATACCAAAATTATGACTTCGATACTATACCTGCCAAAATATTACAGTACCCGATACTTACGATACCACAAATAGGATACTGGAATATTCATCTGTGATCGTAATAAATAAAAAATCTGTAAGGTTTCCTTTTTTACCAGCCATCTGTTTGACTGCCTGTGGGATAAACAATGCTTAATTTACTGCATATAGAGTTTGATATTTTCACATTGATATTTCTTAATTCATGGAATAATTATCTTTTCTTAACTAAAAATAAAAACAATTGGGTCAAGATCCACCAGCCTGTCGTTCTTTTGAACTCTCTGAAAAGTTCGGGGTGTCTGTCTGAAAGGTGCTTGGCCATATTCGAAGCGTTCCCTCCCTTTGCCTGGGTGGGTTTTAAGCAGGTTTTACCGACGGGTCCGTGTGTGTCTCCCCTTATAACTCGCTGTGAATGACGGCTGCCTGTTGCGCGTGTGAAAGCCTCGCAGTCAATGCGTGCAGGCAGCCTGACAGGGAGCAGAACAGTGAGTGCGCTCTGATTGCGTGCTTTTTTTTTTACCTGTACCTGTACTAAATTAGTACAGGTACAGTACCTGTACTAAATTTTTTTTTATAGTTTTCAACGTCAGGGTACCGTGGTAACTTTCTAGTACCGGTACACCGTGCAACACTAGCTGGGAGATGAACGCATCACCCTGGGCAATAAGGTGAAGCGTCATAATCAGGCAAGACCAGTGTGTGATTGGGAGAGCACGTCTTCCCAATGAAGCGGACAGATAGTCTATTCTCTAATGTTCAATGACACAAGAGGTGAACTGCATCAGACCTCGCATGCTGCTGCAGGCCACAACACGTCAGCGGGCGCAGCGGGATGCGTGCGAGTTAGTTTGTGTCTGAACGTGAGGGGCTGTGAGTCACAGCACATTGTAATCAACACCTCGACTGGCTGCCTGGAAATAAGTAGGCACGAGTCTATGCTTTTAATCTACTTATTAGAGAGGAAGTGGAGCAGATGAATACAATTAAATAAATACAATGATGTAAAATGGTGGAAAATTGGTGAGCTACATTAACTTTTACCTTAATTTCCTTCCTCTGCGTTTAATTTTAAAAAGCTTAAAATGAAGTTTGACGGTCCAATCAGACCTCTATCCAAAAATGAACCCATAATATTTTTCTTAAAAATACCCTTTTAGTTGCAATTAAAAAAAAGGGTAGAATAATAAACTCTTTAAAAAGGTTTGGTTTCCGAACAGAAAAGTACAGCTGCTATCTGTGAGCAGCGCGAGTGTTCAGCATGGAAAAATCCACACGGGT